TTTGCTATGCCTTCTACTAATTTTCTGTTTTTTATGTCATAAGCCTCTGCATACTTTAGTTATTTTCTTTAAGTTTCCATGGCTATTTATAATAATAATTTCTAGCTAATTTTTAAGGGAAATAGCAATTACTATAAATTTGTCTTTGAACAGAGTGCTGGCTGCAACTGGCACATTTTAATATGTTTTGTCTTTGATGCTATCATTTCTCAATTTCTCTGTTGTTAATTTTTTTTTATTTTCTTTTTGCTGTAATAACTTCTTAGAAGATTGCTAAACATTTATGAATACTGAGGGAAGGACAGACAAAGCACATATATATTTATATATTCTTAAATAAAAGATACTTTTTTTTTTTTTTTTTTTTTGAGATGGAATCTCACTCTGTCACCAGGCTGGACTGCAATGGCAAAATCTCGGCTCACTGCAACCTCTGATTCCCTGGTTCAAGCGATTCTCCTGCCTCAGCCTCTTGAGTAGCTGGGATTACAGGCACATGCTGCCAAGCCCAGCTAATTTTTCTATTTTTAGTAGAGACAGGGTTTCACCATGTTAACCAGGATGGTCTCGATCTCCTGACCTTGTGATCTACCCACCTCAGCCTTCCAAAGTGCTAGGATTACAGGCATAAGCCACCGCACCCAGCAAAAGATAGTCTTCTTTATCTGGAAAGGTTCTTTTATATCAGCAAAGGTAACGTTAAGAAGAAAGAATATCTCACTTTTGAGAGAAGACAAGATACCTACCTCATCAGTCAAATAAGCACCATCAAACCTCAAAATAGATGGAAAGAGAAATGTCACAATTGGATTACATTCGCTTGTTAGTGCAGCATTGTTTGCAATAGCAAAAATAGCTGGGGAAAAATCCTGAATGTCTATCAATACCAGAATTGTTGAATACATTGTGTCTATGTATCATATGAAATATTATGCCATTACAAAGATGTTTTAGAAATACATATGGTAGTGTAGTTGCACACAAATATAAAGTGCATGATCCCACTTAGGTTAAAAGGGAAGAAAGACTTCCAAATTCCTATATTTCTGTTTATATTTACATATCGTTGTAACATCATAGAAAATGGTTTGGGAAAATACATACCAGAGTTTTAACATTGGTTAAGTGTGATTGAAGGTGGAACATGAGAACACTGGGAAATCCTGAGAGGTGGCAAGGAGAAAAAAGAAATGAGATAGAGAAAGGTCTATTTTATTCAACATAGATCTTTTCATTGTTATAAAGATTGCAGTAAACCATATTAATTTTTGGTAATTTTGAAAGATGACCTTAATATTAATGCGTGAAATTTAAAAAATAGGTGATTAGAATGTTATTGTTTATCCTCATAAGACTGAATATCAGCATCACCTCTTTAAGGCAGAGAAACTTAAAGTATATGGAAAATAGATGTGAGGTGAAGAGACTGGAGTCCAGAAGCCTACCTCTTCCTCTGAGGAGAATGTAAAATGCTCATCACTTTGTTGACAGTATTTATTTAGGGAGTTATTTGCTAATCCTGGTATTTTTCTTATAGTGTAGATTAGAATGATGCCTTTTTTATCTCATGCTCATTTTTCAGATAGCTCCTTATTCCTTATCTGCAAGTGAATACTGGATTTTTTAAGTCTGAAAGTAATGTCCTACTTCCTGGTATGGGAACTGGTTGTATCAATGAGTGTCTGAAAAATGTATTGTTTCATATAACTTAAAAGTATAAGGGTACTGTCTAGGGATACTATATCATTTAAGTCTGGGAAAGCTAAGCCATTTAAGGTGCCTTCAACTGCAAGTAACAGAAAACCCAGACTCAAATTGCTTTAACTATAAACAAATTTGTTACCTCATAACTTGGAGTCAGAAGTAGGACTCCAGGGATGGTATGAGCAGCAGTTAAACGATAAAATCAAAGCACACAGAGTATTCCTATTCTTTCTTCTTCCATCTTCATTACATAAGTTTTGCCCTCAGGATGATTACAGAGATTCCAAAGGTCATATAAAGATATAGCATTATCCTAAAAAAGAAAAGGGAATGTTATTTCCTGTTTCTCTTAAGAGTAAAGAATTTTTTTTCTGAAGCCTTCCAGCAGACATACTATGATGCTTAATTGACCAGGATTAGATCACATGCCCAATGCCAAATCAATCACTTGCAGGAAGAATGGCATCACCATGTCTAGCTTATACTAACCTTTTAGAGTGAGATGAATATTTGTAAGTCAGTCAGTGGCCATGACCACCTACATGTACAGAATATGACCCTAGGACAATCTCCCTCTTTTTGCATAGCCTGCTCCATTCTTTTCTTTGGGGTGCCTCATTCTCAGTCTCTTACATGATAGTAATGTGAATAGAGCAGCTTAATCCTCATATCCTTTCAGGTTCACCCTCCTCCAGTGGAAACTGCCTCATGCCTAGCAGTTTGTGCAACATCTCATTCTGTCTCATTGGCTCTGACTAGGTTAAATGCTTATTCCTAAACTAATTGTACCAGTAATTCTATACTCTGAAAAATCAGGCTTATGTTGTTCCCAAGAGAAAAATTGTGGCACTATTGCCAGAAGAACTGTGATAAGATGCTAGGCTGCAGTATCAATTGATGTCTATTGTAATTAAATACATTTTGCAGCTCAGCATCCATAGAAGCCTTTCCCGCCAAACATACATGTCCAAGGATCTCTCTAATTTTTACTTTGACCAACTATTGATGGATATGAATTGCTGTCTATTTGGAAAATATCTTTGCTAGAAAAACTGCTACACTAACATTTTAGACAACAGATTAATTAATGATTGCTTTTGAACTTTAAATAAATTTAATAGTGCAATGTGGGTCCCTTAGTTGTCTGGCTTCTTTTTTCAGCATATTTGAGAGATTGATTCAATAGTTGTAGCTTGAACATTCTCATTACTGTGTGATATTCCAATGTATGAATATACCCCAACATATCCAGTATGCTGTTGACGGAAATGTAGGTGTTTCTTAGTTTGGAGTCATTACAAATAGTTAAATACATTTTTTTCTCTTTCAAACAACTATTGAGGTATAATTTACATACAAGAAGCTGTACCCATTCAATGTATACAACCTAATGAGGATCACATATATTTTAAATCCTATTTAAAAAATAGGATTTGAGGTTTTAATAAAAGGAGACTAAACTTCTTTCCCATTAAGAAAACTAAAATCTGAACAAATATAGTAAAAAAGAAAATCCGCTCTCAATGGCATCTAAAATATGAGAAATAGGAAATAATTACCTAGCTGAGATAGGAGGAGAACAGGTCCAAGAGGCGAATAGGGCATTTGGTGGATGTTTTTCTACTGGGGAAGTTTACCCATTCTAGAGAGAACCACTGAAAGACTTAGAAGCTCAGCAGAACTTGTGATTGCTTGTCAAATCTATGAATATAGAATCTGGAGTCCAGAACCTTAATAATCTCCCCACCCTTTACTTTTGATTGAAATTCCAAGATATTGATTGAAGTCCTAGGAGTAAGAGTTAACCATAACTTTAAAAAAAGCCCTCACTGAAATGACAACATATCTGCAAATTGCTTCCCATAAAAATTGCATAAACTTTCACTTGCATCTGCACTAGAACCTCTTTTTTTCATGATCAATTACATTAAGTAACATTTTAATGTTCTTTCATATTTTGGTTGTTGAATCAAAATTATTATTAATCCTAATTTTACTTTGTGACGTCATTTTATTGTTTTAAGTGTAGGTGTTCTGTTAACATCTAACTCATCCCCTGATCAACTACATAAGTATCTGGATAAGTAAGATACCATTAAGCATTCTTTTGTTTACAGAGTTTTTGGTTTGTTCATTTGCTTTCTGTTCAGTTTTCTTTTGCTGCATTTTACCTTCTAATAAATCAAATATTGATATTGGTACAACAACCGTTCTCAAAATATTTAAAGAATCATTTCAACATTCCTTAAAGAATATGCAATGCTTCTCCACTGATTTGTAAAACCATAACTTTTATCTAATTATTCCTTATAAAGCTATCTTTTGCAAAGCTTTCTATTCCAATAAATAAATACGATCACTGGTTATGTAGAAATATTATGTCAAATGTCCAGTACTGGGAGAAAAGCCAAATTATAAATCACCGTGAAAGTGAGTTTTATGGACTAAGGACAAGATATGTAACAGGTGCCGAATAAATATTTGTTTAACGAAAAAATGGATTAGAAAACATCTAATGTCCTGGAAAAATTAGTAGTCTTTACAGAAAGAGGCATGACATGAAATTGCACATAAAAAACAATCCCAGTTTTGCAAAAGCGTAGAAAAAAGGGGAAAAAAGGACAACAACAAAAAACTATGAGCATTAATATTTTTCTGAGGCCCCCCAAAAATGAGAGATGGGACTGCAGTTGATTATTTTCCTCTTAATATTCGTTTCCTAAAATTAAGTGTTCACATTGTGCATGCGATTATCTTGCCATTAAAAAAAAAAAAAAAAAAAAAAAATCCCTCTAAAACAAAAACAAAAAAGCCAGGAAAGATCAGTCAGGAAAAATTAGGTAAAGACTGGGTCAAAATGGCAGACTTACCACAGTGAATTTCTCTGTTCCAACTTCAAATCCTTTCAAAAAGAGGAAAGACATATTTAAGTGTAAAGAACAAATCCTTAAGGGCACGGACAAAGGTGGGAGGAGAGGGGCGGCGGGAGGGGGACGGCGGCAAGGCGAATTCCCAGAAGATGGAAAGCAGGTGGGGCAGAAGGACTAAGAAGGTGGAAGAAAAGGTCGGGGTGGGAACCAAGGGGCCCTGAAACGATAGAGGAAGGGACCATTGGGTTCCGAGGGCCACTGTGGCACGAACTGCTCTGGACTTGGAAAGAGGTGGAGTTAAAGCCCATAATTCCACCAGGGCTCCAGGCTGTGTGGTGGGCGTGGGAGCCTGGTGGAGACGAGGGCGCGGTGTTTGGCAGGAAGAGGAGGCCTCTCTCTGGGCAGGAAGCTGCGCTACGGAAAGAGGGAGGAGACTGCAGCGGCGACAACAGGGACTGGTGGAAGCCCGAAGTGGCTGAGGGACCGCCGCTGGCCGCAGGGAGGCGGAGGGCCAGCGAGCCAAGCGGTGCAGACGCCGCTGCCTTACTCTTTGCCTGCCTCGCCGCGCTCCTACACACGCTCCTCATCTGCGGATCCTACCCTCACAGCTCTTGCAACTCATTCGGCAGATTGTCTGCTAACCCTCCTTCGCCACAGGCTCACAACGGAGGCAGCAGCGAGGTGTCCGATTTGGGCACGTGAGGCCCCCGATCCCCGGCGGTGGACGCCAGGCAGGGCAAGGCCATTAGTGGGCGCCAGAATGGAGAGGGGGATGGGAAAGAATCCAGGAGGAAACATGGGGTGGAGGTGGGCGCCAGGCAAAAGTGGGGTGCGGGAGTGCGGTGGACAACAGGAAAAGGGGGTAGGAATCACAACCAGACAAGGATTTGAAGGTGAGCGCCAGGAAGCAAGGGCGTGGGAACCAGGGAAGGGGTTAGGGTAGGCAGGGAGGATTATGGACAGCAGCTGGGGCACTCAGGGCAGGAGGGCAATGGGTGCCGGTGAAAGACGCTCTGCAGGGGATTGGGAGTGGACGCCAGTGGCAGTAAGGAGTGTGGAAGGGCAGCGGGCTCTGAGCTAGGAGGAGGTGGCCCAGCCACTTCTACAGACTTCCTAGCCCCAGCCAGCTCTACCCCACCACTGCTGCCCTTCTCCACAGCCCAAAGGAACTTAAGAGGGAGAGCACGGCAGGCATGCAGCCAGGATTTCCAGCATTGCTTCCAGGCTCCTGGGGAAAACTTAGGCACTAGTGCAGAGTATGTCCAGACATGGCCATAGGGAAAAGTTTGCCTTATGGCACACTGGATATGTCTCTCTCTCCTCTCTCCTCCCCTAGCAGGCATGAAGACTCCCAACACACAGGAAGCCGAAGGGCAACAAACCAGGGCAGCTGCAGGACGGGCCACCGGGTCTGGAAACATGACAAAGAAAAAAGTCTCCCAAAAGAAGCAGAGAGGCAGACCTTCATCCCAGCCCCGCAGGAACATCGTGGGCTGCAGAATTTCTCACGGATGGAAGGAAGGAGATGAGCCCATCACCCAGTGGAAAGGAACCGTTCTGGATCAGGTGCCTATAAATCCCTCTCTTTATCTGGTGAAATATGATGGAATTGACTGTGTCTATGGACTGGAACTTCACAGAGATGAAAGGGTTTTGTCTCTTAAAATTCTTCCCGACAGGGTGGCATCATCTCAAGTTAGTGATGCCAACCTTGCAAATACCATAATTGGCAAAGCAGTGGAACACATGTTTGAGGGAGAGCATGGTTCTAAGGATGAATGGAGGGGGATGGTCTTAGCACAAGCACCTATCATGAAAGCCTGGTTTTATATTACCTATGAGAAAGATCCTGTCTTGTACATGTACCAGCTTCTAGATGATTATAAAGAAGGTGATCTCCGTATTATGCCAGAATCCAGTGAGTCTCTTCCAACAGAGAGGGAGCCAGGAGGAGTTGTAGATGGCTTGATAGGTAAGCATGTGGAATATACCAAAGAAGATGGCTCCAAAAGGATCGGCATGGTCATTCACCAAGTGGAAGCCAAGCCCTCTGTGTATTTCATCAAGTTTGATGATGATTTTCATATCTATGTCTATGATTTGGTGAAAAAGTCCTAACTGTTAGCGTAAAATTTGCCACGTATGTGGAAACAAATGTATAATTTCTAGACATGCAAAAAATGTTTCTTTTCAGTGTATTGAAAACAAGGATCCCTCATAACCCAATATTTTGCCAGCATTAACTGTTGTTTTACTCTACAAAATACAAACTTGTGTGTACATGACATGCTGTGTGTAAGCACTTTGTCTTGTCGAAAAGGTTGGGTGTGATTGGTAGATGGGGGATGAAAGGAAGGAACAGCTGTCAGTTTCAGCTGTGAATAAAGTTCAGCTAGAATCATAATCAGTCATCTAAAAATGGCACCAGATTTAGCTGGTCTGGTCTGAAGGGAACAGGGGAAAGAACTAGAGATTGGCTGTTGGATGGGGAGAAAGGAGGAGGTGACTGTTAGGAAGAGGTGGGAAAGGGCCAGAAACGGACAGGCTACTTGGGGGTAGGGATGACTTATGTGGAGGAAACATCCACATGGGAAGGGAGTGATGAATAACAGAGGGAGAATGAGATCTTGTGGCTTAGAGGAAAAGAGAATAAATTGAATAGACAGGAACACAAAGAAGCTTAGAAGCGATCCAGAGTAAAGGGGAGAAGGATCAACCTGACAGGGATCTGGGGAGAGGCTAAAGGATACACAAAGGAAGAGGCTATGTGGGATAGGGTTTGGAGGTGTAAGATGAAGAGGGCCACTGAGGAAGGAGGAATTTAAAGAAGAAAGACTGATGGAGTGAGAATACAGGAAAAGAGTTGTGGCATGTGGGGCCCATGAGAGATTGGAAGGCCCAGGAAAATGTTGGACTTCAGGCAGTGTTCAGGTTGCTCTTCCTGTCTCCATGCACAAAGAAAATGGCAACTGTCAAAGAAGTCAGATGCAATGTAGGTTCCCTAGAAGGGCATTCTGACAAGGCTGATTCCGTCAAGTTAATCAGGAGCCAAGTTGATACCCATAGGGCTTTTCTTGTTTCAGGGAGTTCATGACGCACCTGCCCAGCAGAACCCCAACCCTCAGCCTAAACACACTAACATGGTGCCTCTCACAAGTGGTTGGCTATGGAGTGTCTCCTCACATTTACCCTGCACTGGATAAACAATACTGGTAGAGGATGGATTAGTGGGGCTCTCAGAACTTAAGACATGTGCCATCTTGAATTTGGAAAGTACTTTATCCAGAAAAATGGAATCTTTCTGAACTCAGGTATACCAGTCTCATCACTCCTTTTCCTTCTGCTGGAATGTTCTTTTTCTATATAAAGATAAGGGGTATCAGAGGATTGAGCCTAGAGTCTCCAGGGTATGGGGAGTACTTAACTGTCCAAGCTTCTTTCAACAGCTGCCTGAAACCACAGGTAGCTGGGGCCAATCATCCACTAAAACAGACCTGCTCTCCCAAGAAGCCACATTCTGTTTAGACCTTCCCCACAAAGCTTGTGTCTTCAGACCCCTCGCAGGCACCTGTTGGCCTGTCTTGCCTACCCCAGCTCACAGAGACCTGTGATACAAGTCTGTGCAGCTCTTTGTTTCCAGGTGAGGCAGATGCCATGGGGCATTTGGGCTGAGAGTTGTGACTTGGTATAACTAACTCCTACAGCTGTGTAATGTCACAAGGAGGGGTCAAGGTTGGTGGAGAGAGGGAGCAGCAAGCCCCCAGAAGTCCTTCAAAACTATGGTGTCTGATGCGCAGATAGATCTGTGTCTTTCTCTTCCTTCCCTGCTAGCCTTTCTCCAGTCTTTCTCCTGTAAGCTCATCTGAAAACCTTCTCACTGGTTTCTGCAACCATAACCTTCACTAAACTATATGCCTGACCCCAAAGAAAGAGGGCTGGTGACTTCCTGCTGCCCAGGTTACCCTAACTCCATGCATAGTGGGAGATGCAACAATCTCCCTGGAGTTGAAAGAAAGTGGTAAATACAGTTTATTCTCTCCACCCAATATGGTCTGAGACTGACTGCCTCAAGAATTAACACAAGGCAAATCAACCTCACCATAGCAAGGATTGATTTTCTTATATACATAACACAATTCAGTCCAACTAACACCAGCAGGCTGTCCAGGGACCAGTCTCCATCAGCTGCCAGGTTTTGTTTCATCTTTGTATTTTTATTGTTTTCTATTTTCAATTAGGTACTTCAGACATTTGAGAGATTTCACACCATGAAAATTCATGTTTCTGGCACCTCCTGAAAATGAAACAGAGCAACAGCAACAAAAACCTGAGGGTTAGGCCCTCATTCCAACAAGGATACATGCAGCTGGGCCTTAGGCAGGTCTCAGTCCAGTTTAGATTCAGAATACTGTACTCTCTCCAGTTGGCCACACCCCCAGCTGGCCAAGTTCACTCTAATAAAATGCACAGTTGTCCCCTGGAAGCGTTTGTGCTTGTAACTGGGGCTATACCCTGGGAAAACTGCCTCTTTGACTTGCTTTGATCCCATTTGCTTTTTAATTTACTTGTTTTCTTTATCCCACAAATACTTCAGGTGGGCTCTCTGGTAGGCACTCTTCTAGGCACAGATACCTATGATGTAATCATGAACGAAAGACTCAAAATAAAACTCTTATCCTCCTGGAGCTTTCATTTTAGTGTGGGAGACAGACTGTGGCCAAAACAAGCAATTATAATGTGTTTTCATAGTGGTTAGTGTTAAATAGAAAAACATAAAGCAATGAATTGGGATAGAAAATTTCAGAAAGGAGGCTGAAACTAGATAGATAAGGTGGCCAGGGAAGACCTCACTGAGAACTTGGCTTTTGAGTCTCACTTGAAGGCAATGGGAGGACTGACCCTGTAGCTGCCTGGGGAAGGAGCATTCCAGATGGAGGAACAGCAAGTGCTGAGGCCCCACGACAAGTTTATCCCTGGCATGTTTGAGGAGCAAGGAGGATGCTAGCATGTCGGGAGCTGAGTGAGCAAGTCAGATAATAGCAGGAGGTGGTTTCAGAGACGTAATGGGGATGAGGGAGAGGCAGACACTGACAGCCCTGTGGATTTCAAAATGCAATTTGTCTTTTACATTGAATGTGATGGAGAGTCATCCATGTATTGATAGTGGAGGGGTGACAAGAGTTGTCCGAGTTTAACAGGATCACTCTGACAACTTGAAGAATACTTTTTATTAGTATATAATGAATAAAGGGAGAATAATTGGTAGGCTATTCCAATTATGTAGGTAACAGATGATGGTGGGTTTCACCATTCTGCTGGCAGTAGATACAGTGAAAATTAGTTGGTTTTGGCTGTTTTCAGATATACTCTGCAGATTTTCCTATTTGATTGGCTGTGCATTGGAAGCGAAACATGAGTCAAGAACTACACCATGTTTTCTGGTCTTCTTTTGACGATTTCCTTAAGAGAAACAAATTCCCAATGAAAACCATAGGTGACAGAGTTAGTTTCTATACTCAATGCCTGGATTGGGTATAGAATACTGATGAAGTGATCTCTAAAGAACAGGAAACTGACCCAGGGTCTCATTGATAAACCATTGTTGTTGGCCTTGCCCTTCTGGATAACTCCCCTAGCTATTCTGTGGGACTTTGTTTCCTGATATAGAGAATTGAGTCAGCCAAAAACATTGGAGGTTTAATCTTATGAGATAGAAGCAGCCACTATACCATACAGAATCAAAAGTAAATGCTAAGCATTTCTGATGGTACAGTGCAGCTCTCTCTACTTTCTCATGCACAGCTGCTATAAGGAGAAAAATCATTAGAGATGGGGGCAAGTGATCTCTGTCCTTAATGGAGATCAAATTTCATATGCATCCATCTGAGTAGGTTGGGGAATTTTCATGAAACAGAGAATCAAGCTTTTATGGCTCTGTTAGATATGGATGTGCAATAAACTCTTCTACTGGACTCATGAAAGGAGAAAGCATCTCAAATCAGGTAACAGGATTTGGCCTTGTTTACAGCCAGAAAAAGAAGCCCATATGACCTTGTGAGCAAATCTTTTTAGGCCAATTCTGTGTACTGATGCTGCTACCTTCATATCTGAGTAACACTGGGAACTGATGCTTGTGTTTCCTTGTTTTATAAATGCCAGATGAAATTCAGCCATACATAGATAAGTACTATTCCGACATATAAATTTATCTCTCACCAGCTTTCCCGTCTCTCTCTGGCTCATCCAACACAAAGTATAGAATTATAGGAAGAAAAAGGAAAATCAGTGCCCTGGATAAATATTAATACATAAAGGAGGCAGTTGTAACAGATGCAGGATCTTTACAGAACCTGCATAAATATTAATACTTAAAGGAGTCAGTAGTAAAAGATGCAGGATCTTTACAGAATAGCTTTGTATGCCCAGTGCAAAATCTAACAGGAGCTGAAGGCTTATAGTGCAATATTGTTAAAGAAATTCAGTTGTTTCTCCAATGACCCCAGCTGTTGCAGACATCTTGACTCTATCTGAATCTATTACAGAGACTAATGGAACATGGTACACTGTTTCAAGCATTGACAACACTTTCTTTCCCATACTACTGGCACCTGAGAATTAAGATCTGTTCACATTCATGTGACAAGGCCTCTAATACATGTTTGTTGTACTCCACCAGAGTTACCTAAACTCCAGTGCCATTTGCCAAAATTGAATAGGTCAGAATTCAGTGAAAGTGCTTCTTCATCCAGATTTCCAAAGTTTCACCATACATGACATCCTGATGGTTGGCAGTCAGTAGCCTCAGTCTCTACAGCCCTACCTAGCTGGGGTATTATCACACATCCTCTAAGAAGAATGACTGAAAGTCTCAAAAAAAAATTAGGATTAATATTGAAAATCACTAGTAAAATTCAGGAGTAATGTTATTTGCCAGTAATATCTCTTGGTTGCTGATAATGTATCCTGGAAGTATGTAGGCAAATTCACAATACTCTAACCTCAGGCAAAGAATAATTGTCTCTTCAGCACCCCTACCACCAAAAAGGAGTTTTAGCACCTAACTAGATTCTTTGCATATTGGAAATGCTTTGTGATTCCTTAGGCATTCTGCCTGGTCCTTTATATTAGCTCACCCACAAATCAGCATCTTTTGAGTAAAGCCTGAAATGAAGTTCTGCCATAGAAACAGTCCAGTAAGTTGTGCCATGTTCTCTACCTTCAGAGCCCTACAATGTTAATAATACCTTTGAGCTATATAAGTATCTGTGACTGATGATGATTTTCC